CCTTATCTAGGGTATGGGCGGAGAAAGATGTGGCCACATCAAATTCACATGTGACCTCAGCAGATGCAGATGTGACCTCTTCCAGGTGTTCCAGTTGCCTAGGTAACGCAAGTACTGGGCGGAGATTTGGCTGTGAGGAGGGTGGAGTCTGCTCGCCATCCAGGAGAGGACCTTACAGTCTGGGCCTTTTTTTTTTCTTTTCTGAGCTAGTTAAAAGGACAACCAGGAAACCGTATGCCTTGCTTTCTTGTTTCTGTGCCAGGCCACAGCCTGGCGTTCTCTCGATACTTGTGCAGTTGTGTTCTCATGCAAGTTCTGCTCGGGGAGGAAATGGCCCTGCTCAGACAGAGCTCTGGGCCCAGCAGTGTTCGTCCAGGTAGCTCCTCGCTGTTTGGTGGGGAAGGCTTGTTAATGCCCATGTTTCTTAGGAGGGTTTGAGATGGCTCCCCAAAATCTGTGAGACAGATCTATGAAATCAGGTTGAGAGAGAGATGATGTTGAAGGGAGAAGCACCAGCCTGGAAGGCAGGGTGCACGGGCCGTGGGCACTCGTGTGTACAAGGGGCACACCTGTGCTCCTGAGGAGCCAGGTCTGTGGCAGCAGATACTAAGAGGGACAGCACTTAGAGGACATAGGCTACTCGAGGCAGCGTCCCCAGCACCCCTCACTCCTCTCAAATGCAAGGTGCTGGGACTCCTGTCAAGGCCTCAGTCGGCCTCTGCCAGGTCTTGTGTTGCTGTTCTGGAAAGAAAAGTCGCACTGGAGATGTGCCCCAAATGCCTACTTCTGAGGGTGGGGTGAAGTGTGTGAGTCTGGGGGCCTTTCAGCATCTAAGCAGATTCTCCAGGGGAAGTGCCACTGTTTCCCTGCTCCACCCACACTTTGGCCTCTCAGGCCACTCTTGATTCTGATTAGTAGCTCAGTGGATCTTCCTGGAGTCCACCTTCTGCTGCTCCCCTAGCTGGCCCAGCCCCTGGAGGAGGACCAGGGCCCCCGGAGGGGATGGGCTTTGGGGGTCTGAGGCTTGGTAGACCAGTGTTCTGGTGTAGTAACTGCCCAGTGGAGGGAGGCAGATAAATTGCCCTTGGGGGATTTGGTTTTCAGATCGCAAGCCCAGCCAGGCGCCTCCCCCACGGAGAAGGAGGTCTCGGAGAAAGGCTGTGCTCCTGGTTGGGAAGCCCTCCCCGTACCAGACTCAGGGGCAGGGGAGGTTGGCTGAGCCAGGCCCAGGCTGGGGGAGTGGGAATGGCGGTGGCCTCTGTTGTGGCTGGAACTGAGGTCTGGGTGGACAAGGCCTTCAGCACTCCCTCATTGCCTGATCAGCAGGCTGCTGTGGCAGACTCTTCGAGTCGAGTCAATGCCTCTGGCCATCAGCCTGAGGCCACAGCAGTTTGCACTGAGCTCTTTAGCTGGGCAGACTTGTGCCCCAGTTGGCAGCCCATGCCGGGCCTAGAGAACAGAAGTTGGGAGGGGGATGTTTTGTACTGGAGCAGCAACGTCACGATGGAACACTTTGAACTTAGCTGCAGTGTGCTTTCCCCAGGTTTCTGCGGCCACCCAGGCTTCCAGGCCCCCCGTCGGCCTGGGCCAAAGCCTGTCTGACAGCGTGGCGGGCAGGTGTCAGTCAGGGGAGGGGTGCACTCTGGCTGCGCCATCTTCACCGCAGGCTGGCTGGGATGGTTCTGGGCAGAGCGTCCACTGCGGCTTTGTGGCAGCCACATTCCTCCCTGGCAGGCTGGCGGGACAGCAGCTGTGGTGGCTCTTTGTTTTCACTGCTAGGAAGAGACTGTTTAGAGTCAACAAACTTTCAAGGTGACACTGACTTTGCCTCTGAGGAACAGAAGAGAATGGAATGGAGTGACTGGGAACATCAGGTGTAGGGGAGGTGTTCAGAGGCATCCTTGTGAGAAGACCCACCAACCAGACCCTAGCTTTTTGTCCTGTGGTGTAACAAAGTGGGCCACTAATTCCAGACAGCACTCACACCACATTCCTCTGCTCCTTCTTGCCCAAACCTCCTGGCTCCCCTAAAGAACCCCTCACTGCCCTGGACCTAAAACACCAACTAGGCCGGGCGCCAGTGGCTCACGCCTATAATGCTAGCTACTCAGGAGGCTGAGATCTGAGGATTGCGGTTCAAAGCCAGCATGGGCAGGAAAGTCCATAAACCACCTGAAAATTGGAAGTGGCGCTGTGGCTCACGTGGTAGAGCGCTCGCCTTGAGCTGAAGAGCTGAGGGACAGCGGCCGAGCTGAGTTCAAACCCCACAACTGACAAAACAAACTAACAACTATGTTAACTATACCCGTCCTTAAATGATAAACAGACTGGGGCTGCGTCTGCCTCAGAATCAGCCTGGCTGACCTTGACCTTCAGGTTCCTGACACCCTGCTTCCAGCTGTGCGGAGGACTGGCTGCAGCCTTAGTCTCTTTAGGCCACTGCTGCAGCAAGATCTTGGACTGGGTGGGTAACTCAGGAACAACAGAGATTGACTTCTTTTGTTCTGGAGGCTGGGAAGGCCCCGTCACCACACCAGTTAGTTGCACGAGTGTCTGCTGAGGGTCTGTTCTTCGCCTGCTTCCAAAGCCCTGGCCTCTTCATACTACCTCATCAAGCTGAGTGGAGGGGTAGGGGTGGGACTTATAGAAACTGCTGCTGTCTGGTGGGCAGCAGTCAAGACGTTTTCTGGACAGGATGAGTCAGGACAACTCTAGCGGAGAAGGAAGGTGAGCACAGCCCGGAGCGCTGGGCACAGGGGATTTTCAGTTCAAGCACAGCTGAGCGCCCATGTCCTTGTTCACTTTACAGCTCAGGGAACACTGCCACGTGACGAGGCATTGGGGACCTGAACAGACATGGGGACAGCCCAGTGCTGTTGGCATCCAGGCCTCGTCACCCCACACAACCCAGTCACAGCACTCACTTGAGATACCTGAGCCTCATTCTTACACACCTGCTCCGGCCAGGAAACACACTGCCCTGCCTGGGACGCACAGTGTGGATCTGGCTCCCTGTGCTCCAGAGTCCTGGCCTTGCACCTGGCCACCACCTATCCAGGGCAGTGTGGCCCAGGGGGGCTGCCAGGCGGGCCATCTCCGCTCTTTCTTCCCATTTCCTCTTGAGTGGCTGGGAAGCAGCAGGGCCTCAGAGATACTTCCTTTACAGTCACCTGGGGCCTCCACCTTGCCAGACGCCAAGTTTGCGTTCAGGACTGCCGATCCTTCTTCCAGGCTTGGCCTGGGAGTGTCCGGGACGGTGGCAGCTGTGTTGCTAGGGTGAGCTTGGGCCTGCCAGAGTGGCACTGAATCAGTCCCAGCCTGGACGGGCAGGGGCCAGCCGTTGGTGGTGGGCTCTCGGTGGCCTGGGCCAGGAGTCATTAGAGGCTTAGCTGCTCTCTCCCGAACCCCAGGGCTGAGCCCCTCGGCACCCCGGCCTTCCCCTTCCTCATGTAATGAGAAGATCTGAGTGAAACAAATCTATCAGAAGACTGTCCCAGGACCAGCCAGTGTGTCCACGGCAGCACAGCTAGCTACCTTCCGCCAGACAGCCTGCGTTCTCCATCTGTGGAGCCCGTTGGCCATCTTTACCCACGGCAGCACACAAATGCTGTGCCTTGGAAAGGAACAAGGCCTCTAGACAGGCCTGTGCCCCGCCTCAGAGAGGGCTCGCAGCCCCGTGTGCAGGGGTAAGGCCTGCATCCTCTCCCTGCCTCTGTGTAGCCCTCGGCTGGCACCATCTCTGTTTTCTGGGGGTCCTTTTGGGAATGTTGGACCAGGCTGTGGGTGCTGCTTACTGCCACAGCCGCTCACGTCTGGGAGAGGTCCTGACTTGGTGCTGAGCCATGAACACTGACGTTTAGCTGCACTCAACCTGTGCACCCCATGCCTCTCGCTCGGGCAGGGAAGCCCTCCCATCCATCCCCACTCTGGAGCTTCAGAGGGCCCTGCAGACAGCCGGGGACGGCCACACACTCAGATGCCACGGAGGTCTCCAAAAGGGCCAGAAACAACCTGAGCCTGGCCCCTCCTCCAGCCGACGTCCCCCCTCCGCACCCCAGGGCCCGGAGAAGGCCCAGAGCCACCACTGCCTTTGAGATGCAGTCTCCAGCCGGGCCCAGAATCACGGAGCCCACTTCTGGACGGTTCTGAGCCTCTCCTGGCTGCTCTTCCCTCTACCTGGGCATGGAAACTGGGGGAGGAGAACGGCCCTGTGCGCAGCCTTGAGATGTTCCCACAGACTGAGGCCCCTTCTATGCTCACAGCTGTCAGTGCCGTAGCTTGTCTGTGTGTTCTGTTCTGCATTTTATATAAGAACCTACATAAGCATTAAGGAGCCCATCTTAGGACCAGTCCGATTTCGGCAGACAACTGTAGTGAAATGACCTCTTCGAGGCACAGATCCATTACGCTAGATACATTTATACCAGACTGGCCCCTCCCCCCAAGGCATTAGAGGTGATGCCATCGCACGGTGGCTTCCCCTCACCCCCATGTCCAACCCAATCTTGCTTCCAGTCAAGTTAATGGGTGGAAACGTGGTGTGTGTGTGTGTGTGTGTGTGTCCCCGTGTCCCCGTCCCCACACATGGCTTGAACTCGGGCCCCAAGCTCAGTTTTTTGTTCATGGTTGGCGCTCTACCACTTGAGCCATCCTTCCAGTCCAACGTATTTGCAGGTTAATTGGGGATCGTCTTTTGGCCCTTTCTGCCTGGGCTGGCTTTGAATCATGATCTTCAGATCTCAGTTTCCTGAGCAGCTAGGATTTCAGGCTCCTGGCTTGAGCTGTGCATTTCTTTACGGATCATGGCGGCCATGTCTTTGCAGAGCACCTCTGGAGGAGGACAGTAGTTGTTGGAGGATGTAGTCACTAGTCGGGGTGAGCCCGGGATTTGGTGGTCTGGCCACAGTCAACATACCACGTGCCCACGAGGCGTGGGCTGGCTCTTGGCTGTGTGCGGCCCTGGCTGACCTGTGTGTGTGTGTGTGTCTGTCCCTCTGCAGAACTGTCAGACCTTCAGCAGCCTCAGCTGTCTGAGCGCCGGCATGGAGGACTGCACTCCCCAGAGTCCCTTCACCCTGGTCAGCAGTACCCGCTCCTGGACCGCCTTGCTCTCGGCCTCCAGCCCGGGGGGCAGGACCCCCGCCGGGACCCCTGTTCCTGAGCCTCTCCCCTCCTCCTTCGATGACCACCTCGTCTGCCAGGAGGACCTGTCCTGCGAGGAGTCGGATGAGGAGTGCCGGAGGGGGGAGCCGGTCACGGCCTGGCGGGACCATCGGGCCACCGGGAACAGCCTGTACTCCCTGGACGGCGAGCTGGACATTGAGCAGATAGAAAACAACTGAGGGGCCCTGGGCCTCACCCAGGGTGGGGGGTGCCAAATCCCTGGGCCCGAAGAAAGCTTTCCAAGGGGTGTCAGGTTCCCCTGGAGGAAGCCCACCCCCCGCAGGGTGAGGCCGCTGCCCTGTGGTGCCCTGGCTCCACGGGGGCGCGCTCGCTCGCTCGCTCGCTTGGCCAGCTTGCGGTGGGATGCTCAGCTTCCACCCACCATCAAGCATACTGGCCAACAGGTCCCTGGAACTACTGTAGCCCAAGAGCTGCTTTGGTTTGGTCCTTTCTGCCCGTTCCTTGTGGGGGTGGGCAGCCATCCTGGCAGGGTGGGGCCCACGCCGCGTCCCTTGGGTGGGACGTCGGGGGCTGCGCTCAGGGCCAGGGCCTCCGTGGCCTCGCTCAGGTTCACTCCGGGGAGCTGCCCGCCGCGTCCTTTCACTCTGTTTATTCTGTGCCTTCTCTCCCAGGTCTTCTCGCTCCAGGCTTGGGAAGGTTCAGGAGACGTCTCCTGTAGTGACACCAGAACCGTGTGGCCTTAATCCACATGCGGGCCCTGGCAGGGCCCCCAGGGGGGCAGGGGACAGCGGGGTGCTTGTCCGAGGCTGTCCACACTGGGAAGAACTAGGTGGATCTGCCTAATTCTGCTGGCTGAAAAGGCAGACCCAACAGGAAGAGCCTCCCCCAGCTGCCGCTTGGGGGGCTGCCCTCTCCCGAGTGATGAGCGTGGAGGAGTCAGCTGAGTCTAGAGATGTCATGACAAAAGAGCGACCTCTTAAAATTGGTGTCCTCAGGAGACGACAAGCAGGTGCACGCCCCTAGTCCCTGTGTGCATGTCCGGCCGGCTGTCTGCTCCGCAGGGGCCTAGGATGGGCCCAGAGAGCCTCTCTGTAATGCCCGCACACTCTTGTCTGCTCATGGCACCCCTCCCCTCCAGAGTCTCACTCTCTGACTGCAGGGGAGTCCTAGACCTCAGCACTGCTGCTCGAGTCCCTCCTGCCCTCCTCACTCCAGCACAGGGTGCCGAGTGCTCACTCTGCAGGTGCAGCACAGGGATCTGGGTTCTAGGAGTCAAGCTGTAGCACCTTCCTAGACAATAGCAAGTGGGCTGGCTTGTGAGCAAGTGGCTAAAAATAGCTGCGTGCTCTCCTGAGCTCGCGGGCCGATGAGCTAGACACGTGCAGTCCCCGCGCTTGCACTGGTCTGGGACGAGCCTCGTCTCCGCAGGTCAGCCCTCTCCGGGCTTCACCTGTCTCCTAAAGGAAGATCTCAGTTGGCAAACTGCTTAAGCCTTCGTTGTTCCTCCACGAAAGGCAGCAGGGACTCCAGCTGTAGCGTGAGGGCAGCCCGAGCAGGGCACACGGGGACCGGGCCTGGCACAGGACGGGCCCTGCCGCGGAGGAGCCAGCTCGCTGCAGGGTGCTGTGGACAGCTGGCATCGAGGTAGCACCGAGCCCCTGCTTGGGGGGGCGGGTGGCAGAGGCGGTCTATCCTCAGAACGACGTGGGAAGAGGAGAAGGGGTGTTGAGAGGATGTGCAGAGCATATGACCGTGCCCCACGTTCCCAGAAAGCCCTAAACAGGCATTTCCTGCGGAAGGTACAGAAGGCAGGGCCCGTCTCCTAGTCCACTCCACGAGGCCGGCCAGGCCACAGTGTCGAGCAGCAGCTCCTTAGGACCAGACAAGAGGCACCTGAGTGACCTCTCCTCAGACTCTGTCCATCCCTGCGGCGCACTGCCAGCCCGAGGCTTGCTTACTCCTGCCTCCCCCAGCAAACCAGCCCCATGGCCGGCAGGCCAGCCCCAGGGCACTTACCGAGAGAGGTGACCCAGGCCCAGAGCGGGACACGACCTGTCCCACCTCGCCCAGCCTGCTGCAGCAGTTGTCAGGAGACAGCAGGGGGCTCTTCTGCTTGGAGAGACAAATGGCCTCTAATAAAAGTTGTGGTTCTTTCGATTGGCTAGAGACCCCATCTAGAGGATGCCCACCATTGCCCCAGCCGTGCCACCAGAGAGGCCTGTCTGCCTGCGCTGCTCCACTGTGAAAGGAGGTTCACCCAGGAGCGGCAGGCAGGCTCGCAGGCTCGCTCCCTCCCTCTCTCCCTCCCTCCCACAACCAGCATGGTGGCCTCAGCCAGTAGAAGCTGAGGAGCTCCTCACAGCCTGGGGAAGAAGGGACTCCTGTCCCGTGGCTTCCCCTCCCATCCAAAGGCCCTGGGCTGACAGGAGCTGATGTCTGCTGGGCGCCCAGCAGCACCGTTTACATGACCCACACCCTCTTGCCTTACTCAGGCCGTGGAGGCTGGAGCCCGGAGCCCCAGGGAGGCGGGCCCGCGAGGCCCCGGAGCTTGCCATGACCGCTGCGTACACGTTTTCACGTTCAGAAAGCCTTACAGCAAAATGTTTGTAACAGGAACGTCTTTTTTTAATTTGTATGTTGAAAGAAAATGTTAGGAAAGGAAACGTCTTCATTAAAAAGGGAAACGATCTCCAATTTCCAGATGGGTCTCCCAGGGGGAGGGGGAGATTTTCCTTGGCATCGCCAAGGCACTTTCCGGGGCCCGGCCTGCCTGAGCGAGCTCCCAGTGGCTAGAAGGCACCCCTGGATCCTGCACCCAGCTTCCACCAAGGATAAAGGCACAGGTACTCTGGGGCCACGGAGGTGGTCACCCAAAGGCGTTAGCCCCCTGGGACAGAGCACCGGCTTGGTGCCAGGGCTCAGAGGGTCGTGCCCAGGTGTGCGCAGTGACGCGGTGCCGAGACACCCCTTCACTGCCAGTTCAGCCCTTCCCGCTGCCTCGGTCCCCGAAAGCCATGCCCAGAGAAGAGGAAGGTGTCTTCAAGTGGCAGAAGTGGAGCTCTTATAGCCTAGGTAGATAGTCTGACCTCTAGCGTAGTCTCGGCATGTGTGGTCAGCATGCAGGGGTGTGGGCCATGTCTGGGCTGGGCAGCGGTGCACCGGCTGTACAGGGTTGTGCATCCCGCCCTCACCGGGCACTGTGGAGACTGCTGAGCTGCAGAAATCATGGCGCCAGGGCCGGCTGGCCCCAGGTCCCCGCTGTAGCAAAGCAGTCTGCACAACGGGGCGCTAGATGTGCCCCCCCCCCCGCCGCCCCACCTCCCTGCAGACCAGGACTGTCTTGCACTAGAGCCCCTCTAGTCTCAGGAATTTGCTTGTTACTTTTACTGTGTAAATAAAGCTTCCTGGTTCAATGCCCAGCTGCCTGGGAACTGCTGTGTGGTTTTGTTGGGGTGTGGTGAGTTGCGAGGGCCACAGGCGGGGCCCTCTGTCCCTGTCATGTCTCTACAGTGTCACCGAGAGGCTCCAGTGCCGGGCGGCTCTGAGAGCTGCGAGGCATCCCCTCAGCCACATCTGCATCTCGGGGAACCTTCCAGAGGCGGGCCTGCCAGTGTGTGTGTGTCAGGGGTGGAGGGCCAGCAGGGGGAGGCACTTCCCCCCCGAGATGACCGAGGTAAGAGCAGTGGAGGCGGCCGGCGCCACATGCCCCTCACGGTGGCTCAGGTGGCAATGCACGTTCTCTCCTGCCACCAGCCTCAGTGGCTCGGAGACAGCCCCGATGTGGCCCTTTATAGTTTGCCCCCAAAGCCCTTAGCCTCCCCTCCCCACAAGACCGGATCCCTGACTCTCCAGTCTCACACTGGCCCAGTTTCAAGCTGAGCTCGGGCCAGCAATGGCTGCTCAGCCCTTGGCTCCGGCATCTTCTCCCAGGGCTGCAGCTTCTGCACCCAGATGAACTGACACACATGCTGTCCCAGGCAGGCACCTGGCTCACAGGGCAGCAGCTCTACTCTGCCCTGGTATTGGACTGCCACACACCTCCCTTCTGCGTGCCTCAAGCTGTACATCTGACACAGGACCCCACAGGTGGCCCTGATGGGTGCCATGCCCTGAGCAGGGTCTTCACTGTGCACAGAAAACGTCTGGGCACAGCAGCCCCATCTGGTGTATGTGGAGGACCCAGAGGAAATGCCTTTGCCTGGACGGTGGGCAGACAGTGGCTTCTGGTTTCTTTGCATTCTTCTGCTAGGTTTCCTAGTCATGCGTGGTACTTTACAGTCTAACCAAAACTCACACCAAATCTCAAGGGGAAAGAAGGTAGTGCGGTATCTGCAAGGGCAAGCTACAACTCTGGGGGGGGGGGGAATGGCGTGTTCTCTACCTAGATGCGGCCGGGGTAGGGGGATGGGAGGGCAGCAACTTGAATAAGGCTCAGCCTTTCTAGAGAGACCAGGCTCTTCCCTCCCCGGGCTGCCCACTCCTGCCAGCTACTACAGCCCAGAACCTGCACATACCACCCCTCTCCTAAGAGACCACGAGCTGCAGCGGGGCCGCCTTCAGAAGCAGGCCATCTGTGTGGTGCCCGGCCAATAGGCCTTCCCCAGTGCCAGTGTCTAGCCCAGCCACGGCCTCTAATCTTGACAAAAAGCCTTGGCTACAATTTCCTCCTAATCCTGAGGCGTGGGGGTCTGCCTGCCTGGCAGGAGCACTCGGGTGTCTGGGTCCAGCGCTTTAGCACCGTCAGCCTTTGTTTAGTGGAAATCCTATTAAGGAGAACCCTGACTTCTTTTTTATAAGTTGTCTCTAACAATTTGTCAGTGGCTTCTGGATTGATTGGAGGAGAAACAGAGCAATCAAGCTGTCCATTCAGCTCATTGGTTCTGACACCTGAAACTTGGGCGAGGTGTGAACTGCTGGGTCCCAGGGGCCTTGTGGGGGGTGCTGCCGCCAGCTCGGTGTAGAAAGCAGCTCTCACTGCCAGGCCTCAGCAGAGTGCTCGAGTCCCCTCGAAGGTTCAAGTGTTGAGGGTGATGAGGGCGGGAGGGGGGGAGGGGGGCCTAGTGGGAGGTCCTTAGGACAGAAGGATTGTGGGAATGAAGTTTCTCTGCCTTCCTGCCTCAGTTTGAGACCTGGATCTCTTCTAGCTCTTGCGTGTTCTCTTCCTGCAAGGATGCCATGAGGTGAGGCTGGCCAGGGCTATGCCCTCGGGCCTCTCAAACTGAGCTCAACCTCTTCTCTGAGCTCAGCCTGCCTCGGGTATTTTGTTGTAATAATGAAAAATGAATGCAAGAAGGCAGTTTTCCAGGTCTGTCTGAGGTGAGCCCCAGGGCAGCCATCTACTCTTGGCCTCAGTTCCTTCACCGTCTAAATAGGTCAGAATAGGTTTCATGGCTCCTGCACCCTAGTGTTCAGTGGCTCCCGCTCATGGCAGGGCCAGGGCCAGCGCCGGGACTCTGCTCAGGGCCTCCCCTCCCTTCCCAGCAGTCAAAGGCTGCCACTCAAGATTGAGTTTATTCGGTCATTCGTTTCTCCAGCACACAGCGCACGGTACATTCGAATCTGTTCTCTTCTGGCTCCAGAGTGCCTCGTGTGCCTGCAGCCTTGGCTGCAGGGGCACACTCTTGTTCGGGGTGCCTGCCTGGCCTGTGTCTGCAGTGTGACGTATGGGACAGGAAAGGGGGGGTGGCATGGTTTCAGGGCGGGGGGAAGGGGCAAGTGAGAATCAGCTACTCTGCCGCTGGGCATGGCGGAGGGGACAGACAGTCCTAGTGAGGCGCGCTCAGCAGGACCCTGGCTTTTCCGCTGGATGCAGAGTTGAGAAAGAGGCCATGGGCTCATATGCCGGGCCTTACTGCCCTTACACGTGCGTGTGCAAATGGTTAGTGAGTGAATTTAGGAGTTCAGGGGGGACATCCCCAGAGGCAGTTTCAGCGTAGGTCCAGAGGGTTTTCATTCTCTGGAGACAGGGATGAACTTCCACCTGGGAGGCTGGGAGGGGGGTTCCACAGAGGAGGCTGAGGAAGAGGTTCCACAGAGGGAGGCTAAGGAAGGATCAGACTCTGGCCCGGGGCAGCCCAGAGCCACGGTCACCGGCCCGTGCTGGCGGCGGCGGGCAGGGGAAGGCGGGCCCCGAGGCTGTCACTTGTCGGCGTGCTGCAGCAGCAGCTCCACAGCCTGGGCCAGGTTGTCCACGTACCCATCCGCCTTCACTTCTGCATGGTGCTCATCGCTGGGCCTGCAGAACAGGGCTGGGGGTTAGCTTACTCTTCCACAGACAGGAGTTCCTTCGCTTCTGCTTCAGAGGTTGAGGCTCTGGGCTGCTCGTGAGGGCCTGGTGACCGGTGGCTTCATGGCGGGGGTGTGGCAGGGATCCAGGGACCAGGATCCTCACACCTGACAGAATGAGTCATCCCAGAGAACCGCCGGAAGCCCTCCACCCCGCTTTAAAGGAAAAAGCACCCTTCCCCTCGATGGCCGCCAGTGGGGAAGCCCTGTGTAGAGGCCAGGCCCTCTGAGAGGGACGGCGTGGCTTTCCGTGTTGGGCTGCCCAGCCACATCCTCCATGTCGGGTAGGAGTGTGTGCGTGTGTGTCCACGCACACATGTGCACACGCGCACTTTTTCTTTTAAAGCAGGGTGGGGACCCTCTGTGTAAGGCGACTGGTGGGACAGACATGTATGCTTTCGTGGGCTCTTCATCAGTGGCCATAGGCCCGTCGTGATCATTTTGTATGTGTGGTCCACGAAGGAGATCACAAATATCCAAATGGCCCTTGGCAGAAAATAGATGCCCTGCCCCTGCCAGGTTTCCGCTCAGGGGCCTAGAGGCCACCGCCTGGTTGGGAAAGGACTGCGCCAGACCATTGCGACCCCTGGATCGGCGGGGAGGACAGCCCTGGGCCAGCCTCCGTGGGCTGCGGTACTCCCGTCATCCAGAGCAGAGCCTCCCAGCGTGCACAGGACAAAGGTGCACCCACACCTTCCCAACAGATGTGCTGGGAGGTTCGCAGCAGCTCTAGGGTCACCGAAAGAGCAAACCCTTGAGGAGGTCCCTGGGGAGAAGGCCAGGCCACACCTCGTTCCTCCAGTGACAAGCCACCAGCCGCCGAAAGATGACGCCATCCCCGTGAGACCCGGTGCGGAGCAGTGGGAGCGGGTGGGAGCCACGCAAAGAGGCGACTCCACAGGGGAGGGGCACAGAACAGAATGTTCTAGACTGTGGCCTGAGTAGGAGGTGGAGGTGGAAGCAGGTAAGTGCCCACACTGTTTGCTTTAGGGGTTCTCTTCTCTCTTTGGCCTTGGGAATTTACTGAAGGATCTACATCTGATGCCCACAGTACAAGGGGTGCCCCGCCCCCCCAGTGCTGCACCTCGCCCCCCCCCGCACCCCCCCCCGCCTGCCACGTGGCCTCCAGGCTGACAAACTGCTCTTGCTGCAGCCTCTCCTATTTTTAAAGCGTTGCGAAAGAGAAGAACGTGCCAGAAAGACCAAGTGCGGTCCACAATACTGCAAGTTACTATCTGGGCCCCACAGGAAGGCCCAGGCCCAGGGTCCTGACCTCTCCATCCTGCATCTGGGGTCGGGTCTTCCAGGGGCCCAGGGCATCGTGGGCCCTGGCAGGGGTGGAGCGTGGCTCCTCACAGACCAGAGGAGAAACTGAGCGCGCAGCACCTGCTGGAGCTTTCCTGTCCACCACCCGCCTTGCTGTCCCCTGGGCCAGTGCCGGCCGCCTCGGAGCTGGAGCTGCCCGTGGGGACTTGTGCTGCTCTGAGAGGGGCCCGGAAAGAGGGGCGCCCATTGCGCACCCCGCCAGCCTGCACTGTGCAGGCTGGCACAGGTGCCCACATGGCCTGTGCCAGGCGTGGCCGTGGTGCCCGGGGACTGAGCGGGCCTCTCTCCTCCCGCCACCCCGGGGACTCCAGCAGGGAGCATGGGTCCCGAGGAAGACCTGCCCGCTCCCTTCCCCCACTTTCTTTCTCCCCACTTTCCTTCTCCACTTTCCTTCTCCAACAGGGAAGTCCGCATGCTTGTCCTCCCAGCAGACATAGCTGTGCTGACCCGTCCCCAAGTCCCCAGGGCGCCCCTCCACATCTCCACCCGCTGCACATGGGTGAAGTGGACCCGGGGGGGGGTGAAGTGGACCCCGGCGGGGGGGGGGGGCACAGCTCCTGCCCTCCGACTCCGCAGCCCCAGCTGCGAGGGCTTTGGTGTGTGAGTCACATATGGCCACCGTGGCTGTGGCCGGCAGAGCCGGGAGGGTGCGCGTGGCCTTGTCCCAGGCCCCCGGCCCTGAAGCAGCCGCCCCCTGTCCGGCAGAGAGACAGACAGGAGCGGACGCCATCCTCGCGGCTGCGAGGGGAGACCTGTGGGCCTCAAGGTGTCACCTGACAGACGCAGAACTGGAGGGGACCCGGCAGGGGGCGCTGTGGCAGCGGGGTCAGCCGGCCGCGAGCTGGCCCTGGCTGGACACGTGTGGCCAGCGGGGCACGGGGGCGGGGGATGGGCAGAAGCCAGACCTGGCAGAACACAGTGACAAACATCGGGACAATGAGACAAAACTGGAGCAAGGAGAGACCTAGACACCCACGCAGGGGGAGAGAAGGGAGCCCAAGGGCCTGGGCTGCCGTTGGGTGGCCAGGCCGCGAGGGCAGCCTCTCTGCCCTGTGGCACCTTCGGGTGGGCCCTCTCCCCGGATGCTGTGGGCCCCTTGGAGCTTAGCCTGTGCCAGCCTCCAGTTTCACACGTCCCTCACTCCCAGCACCTCCACGCCAGTGTCCACACTGTGCCTGCTAATGCTCTGGAAACCTGCAGCAGCAAACTCCTATGCATCCCTCAAGGCCCCACACACGTCCGTCCCTATCTCTGACTCTGTGCTTCACTGTACAGGGCAAGTTGCTCTCTGAGCATGCAGAACTTGCTCCCTGCCCCACAAGCACCCAGGAAGTGTTCACCCCGTGAATGAACAAAGCCCTCCACAAGGCAGGGCTCTGCCTGTCATTAGCCATTCCTCCCCTCACACCCTGGAGCCAAATGCAGGGGATGACTGAGCAAGAGGCCTGAACAAGGGCGCTCTGTGCACGCTCGCGGCCCGGGCAGCTTCACAGGGATGGTCTTTGTGCAAAGGAAAATGGCGCCAGGAGCCTAGCAAGGGTCGTCTCCCGTGGGCTGGTGTCCCCCCCCACCCCCAGCTGAGGAGGGAAATGGGTGCGGCCTCTCTCAGAGGAGCTCCGGCTCAGGCTGCCTGTGGGTAGGGCGGGCCGCAGGAGCCCAAGACTGCACTCAAGGGGGACACTTGTCCTTGAGGCCAGCTCCCGGGGTTGCCCAGGAGCGTGAGCTGGGAGCTGGCACGGGAGGGCCGCGCTGGCAGAGCGGGTGAGAACAGGGTGGCGGGTCACGGGTCGGAGGCGGCGAGGCTGGGCAGAGGGCATCTCTGCATTGTGCAGAGTCGAAGACCCCGGGGGCCAGGCACAAGAGTTCACTTCTTTCTGCAAATGCCAGGAGGATGTGGCTGGGGACTTGCCTCCTCGCACCCACAAGCTGCTGTTCTCACTGCCAAAGGGGGCACCTGCGGCTGGGCACAAGCCCACAGAGCCTCCTACCGAGCACTTGCTGGCCCAGCCCTGGGGGCTCAGGCCCACAATCCTAGCCGCTAAGGGGGCTGGGAAATGAGGGCTGCAATAGAAGCCCATGTAGGCAGAAAGGACCATGAGACATTGATCTTCAATTAACTAGCAAAAAGGTGAACGTGGCTCAAGTGGTAGAATGCCGGCTTGGAGTGAAAAAGCCAAGTGAGAGCGTAATCCCCATGTGGACACAAAAATAAAAGGAGAAAGGAAAGGAAGGGAAGGGAGGGAGGGAGGAAAGGGTAGAAAAGGATAAGAAGGAATGAAGGAAGGAAGAGAGAAACAAGAAAGAGCCAGGCGCTGGAGGCTCACGCCTGTCATCCTAGCCACTCAGGAGGCTGAGATCTGAGGATCACAGTTGGAAGCCAGCCCAGGCAGGAAAGGCATCGAGACTCTTGTCTCCAATTAATCAGCAGAAAACTGAAAATGGAACTTTGTCTCAAAGTGGTGGAGCACTAGCCTTGAGCAAAAAAGCTTAGGGACAGCGCCCAGGCCCTGAGTGCAAGCCCCATGATGGCCAGAAAAAAAAAGCATGAAAGAAAAGAAGAGAGGAAAGGAAAGGAGAGCAGATCCTGCGCGAGAGCTCCGGAGAGACCCCCGCCCCCAGGCCTGGGGATGGGCACCCTGGCCACGCACAGACGGCAGGCCCTGAGCAAGCTGGGGATCCCAGCCCCAGCCCCCCCTCCTGCTGCTCCCACCGGGGGGCGGGGCCCGGCAGTGGGCCAGCCCCCCTTTCCCCTGTGCAGATGAGGCAGCTGAGATAACCCCAGAGGTAGCCAGTGGGGTGCCAGCTCCACACCCCGTATTTACCTCGCACCTTCCCTTGCGCCAGGGGCTCCCCCAAAAGCTGACCGAGACACCTCATTAATCCCAGGCAAGACAAATCACCTCATAAATCATCAGAGCGGCCTGGGGAGGCTGCCAGCCCTCGGGCCCTTGCCCCACACTGGGCCGATTGTGCCCACAGGGACCCCTTCCAGCCGCCCGGCTCCTGGCAGCCGCCACGCCCTGCGCGATTCCTAGATGGAATCTTGCTTTCTGCTGTTTTCATTCCCGTCCAGGAGCCGGGCCGTTCTTAGCAGCATTAACCAAGTGTCGCTTTGACTCTGGCAAACCTAGGAAGCCATACACTATGCCAGACAAGCTTCCAGAGCGGCCTGGGCCTGGCAGTGCTGGCTCTCAGGGCCTGATGCCCCCCCCTTGGGGGTGTGGGGGTGTGCATGTGTGAGAGACAGCGATAGGGTAGGTAGTCAGGATTCAGTGACTGGGGGGGGGTACTGGAGAAATGGGAGACTGAGGCCCACAGGAGGGAGCCTGGCAGCCAGGCGCAGTGGCTCACGCCTGTCATCCTAGCTACTCAGGAGGCTGACATCTGAGAATTGTGGTTCAAAGCCAGCCTGGACAGGAAAATCCATCAGACTCTTATCTCCAGGTAGTCACCAGAAAATCAGAAGCGGTGCTGGGGCTCAAAGTGGTAGAGCGCTAGCCTTGAGAGAAAGAGCTCAGGGACAGCGCCCGGGCCCTGTGTTCCAGCTGGCGCTGGAGCCCATCCTGCCCAGGGGTGCACTGGGGAAGGCCTCGGGCACAGGGCTGTGGCATTCACTGGCATTGA